TTAATTTTGGCTAATTTAGGGTAACACATATGAAAAGGAACAATTATTTGGACATTTTATTTTCTAAAAGCTTTTTTAAGATTAGAAACTAATAGCAAATCATTGCCAAAACTAGCTGGGTTTACTCTTGAAATGTTTAGTATTGTAGTTTTTTGTGGTTAAATAAAAATATTTTTAATAAATTTAAAATAAAAATATAAGTGTAAGGATGATTCAAGAGCATTTAAAACGCTTAGGCGGGGGTTAAGTGATCTAGAAGGATAAAAGAAAGCAGTCGATGCTCCGGTAGCTGTGGTAGAGCTCTTGTATATGTAGAGCTCTTGTAATGTTTGAATCGTGCCCGGTGGCTAAACTTTTGCTAAACTTTCTTTAGTTTAAGATTATTTTATTTATTTCCGCTTCTCGAATATTATCTAACTGAACTGAATAGATTTGCTTAAAATTTTATTTCATAACTTATAGTAGTTTTAAATTATTATTTTAAATAATGTCCTACTTTTCACTTTTTTTGATAGAAAATTGTTGATGTTTCCTAATTTTCCGTTTCCTAATTTTCTTGTATTGAGAAGAAGGGATAATGGAAGTAAAATATACATTTTAATATAATGGAAAGGATTGTTATAAATAGTAGTAACCACCAAGTTAATTATACTTTAGAGGGTAAATGGACAGCTGCCCATATTTTTATTTAAAAGACACCAAAAAATTATTTTCTAACAGAAAAATATTTTTAGGCCAATTTCGCGCATTTTCTTATTATTTTTAGGTCAAAAATATTTTTAGTTTTCATCGTTTAAATATTTTTATATTAATTAATGTATTGAAGGAGTAATTAAATAATTTTAAATAAAAAAATAAAAAAATTAAATTTTCTCTTGTATTTATTTTAAAATAGATCTCAATATAATGGTGATTTTCGGAAGAAGAAAAAACCTGGGAGACGGGATCGGGTTACCTACAATATAAAAAGAGACTTTAAATATACTATTTACTTTTTTCTTTAATAATATGTCGCTTAATATGTATATTAATCAACGTGCAGTCAACGTGTAGATTTGGCAATAATCAACTATATTGCCAAGTCTGTTTTCATAATTACTGAATTATCATTAAAAAATAAATTTAAAAAAATGATAAATATAGAATGGAAGTTAGAAAAGAAATTCAAAATCTTGGTGGATATACAAATTACTTAGAATTTATTATGACGATAGTTATGCATGTAAAATTAAAATAAAATTCATTCTTCGAATAAATAATTTACTAAATAAATAATTCCAAGTTAACCTTCTTTAAAAATATTTTTTGTTGTTTTAAATAAAAGATTTGTGTTTAAATATATACACCTGCCTTCTTTTTACTTTTAAATCGCTCTTGCCTCTCGAGAAAAGGCTTAAGAAGGCGAGAAACCTTATTTTTTAGGGGCGGCCACTCGACAGCTTAGACGATAATAATCACTTTACGGTTAGAAAGGATTTTTAAAAAGAAGAGGAATATAAAGAGTTAAAAAGAAGAGGAAAGAGGGTTAATATTTTTAAATAAAAGTAAGTAGCCAATAAAGAAATAATGGTTTTGAATAAAAATAAGATTTATTTTAATTTTATTTTATTAAATTAAAAAAATATTTTCAACAAAGTTATCATAAAGGACAAAAAACTTTTAAATAATTAAATATTTTTATTTTTTTCTAAAACAAATCAAGCGCCTGCAAACTAAAAAAGGAAATATATAAATTACATTAATTATTAATTTGACCTTTTTTAAATTAAAATAATTAATCTATATTATTTACCTTTTTATTAAAAATACATAATATTTATTTAATAGAAAATATTAATTTAAATGTTTTAATTGTCTTGTTAACTTAAAATTTTAGACGAGGTTTATGCCCTCTTTTCTTAAAAATATCAAAAATAATTTTTATAGTTAAAAATTAGTTTCTCTTTATTTTGTAAAAATATTTTAAAAATTATTTACAAATTAAATTATAAATATTTTTAAACTTTTATTTTCGATATTTTAGAAAATCTTCGTATTATTTATTCCCAATATTGATTTCAGAATTTATTTAAAAATATTTAAATTTATATTTACTACATAAATGGCTTCTTATTTTCTTTCCTTTGTTATTATTAATTAAAATTTTGTGTTTTGATAATTAAAAACTTTAATTAAAAATTAAAAAAATATTTTTAATTAACTGGAAAATTGGGAAAGTGAACGAGAAAATAAAAATTAAAGGACCGATTTTTAAAAATTTAGTTTTTGAGGTTATAAAATTCAAAAAAATTCTGCTTGGGCTTAAAGATCTCTAAAATACAAAATTTATAAATTCAAAAATATATACAAAGACTGTACTTTTATTTAATTTAAATTTAAATTAAAAAATAATTTTTTTTGGATTACCGTACATCTTTAAATTATTTTAACTCTCCATTTATTAACACATACAGAAAAATTGATGGTTGGCATTTTAGGCGGTGGAAACAATTTTTCAGTTATCCATTAGTAAAATTAAAAAAATCTTTTTATTTCTGATTGTTGGCATTTTAATTATTTATTTAAAACATCCTTTTGCTTTTCCTTAAAAAATAATATAAATCAATAAAAATAAAAAATTTTGAATTTAAAAATTTGTAAAATACAAATATTTAAATTTTTAAGGATTATACATATTTATTTTTGGTTTTTCTAAAAAAATATATTAATTTTAAAATAAATTTTTTTTTAAAAAGTTTTAGATTTCTCATCTTTTTTTTAAATTTAATTAAAAAATATTCTTCTTTTTCTGTAAAAACTTGTTTTTTCTTTGTTTATTTGTTCTCTTTTCTTGCTTTTTTTGATTGTTTGATTGTACAGTAATTCAAAGTTTAAAGTTGCATTTTTAAATTTATTTTAAAATTATTTTTAAAATAAAAAAAAGATTTATATTTGGGCGTAAACTAAGTTTTGAACCCCCTAAAGTTAAAAATTCATAACTTTTATAATATTTAATTATTTAATCAGCTTAACTCAAGGGGGGGGGGTGGCTCAAAACTTAGTTTACACCCTAATATGTATATTTTAATTTAAGTAAATTATTTACTTAATTAAACTTTTAAATATTTATTTCTAATTTCTGGGGCTCTTCTAGTTTTGAATAAATTACTTAATATCTTTTTTAATTCACCTTTTCTTAATATAATTAAAAGTTTATTTTAAAATAAATACTAAAAAAATTCACAAAAATTTTTGACTAAAATATTTTCCTCCCTCAAACCCCCCTCCAAACCCGCCCATCTTTGTATCTAACAAATTTTCTTCAGTTTTTTACAGCCTGAAAAACATGAATGAATAAGAAAAATAAGATAGGAAAGGAAGCATTCCTTCCCTCAAAAAGACACGCCCTCCTTTCCCTCACTTAACCCACCACTAAACACCCCCAAAAACGATGTTTAAGTCAGCCGACCATTTTTTATCCTTTTTTGTATATATCTTTTTTTAATACTTTATTTATTACATTCTTTTTACTCATCTTTACATCTCCTTTTGCCCACCTTTTTATTTTAAAATGTTTTTTTTCTAAATAAATTTTTGTATTTCCAATTTCCTGTTATAAATATTTTTAATAAATTAAATAAACATTTATAGATAAATTTAGATTAAATTAGGAATAAAATGATTAAATGTGGGCTGGAATAATATTTAAAGTAAATCTGTTTACACTTGATCGCAAAGTACACAATTTTGATTACCGTAAATGCTGAAATAATTACCCTCTCTAATAATTACTCACTAGTTTTTTACGCAAACTTTAAAAATATTTAAAAATTATTATCATTTTAGGACTTAATATCAAAGACCCCGTAATAATTACCCTCTCCCGCGAGAGATTGAAACAATTATTACCCAGGGTAATTATTTCAACATTTAAGGTATATTCGTTTGATTATATTTATATTAATATATATATAATATTTTTTAAGATTATACTCTTATATTTGGATTAGTTTATTAATTTTTATCGCTTCTATTAACTTTACACTAACTAGAAGAGGTTTTTACTACTTTCTTTATCACTCCTTTCCTTTTTACTTGACTTTAAACAATAAAAAAATACTCTTTCCCGCTTTTGACTTTTATATATATTTAAATTTTTAAAAATAAAAATATTTTTGTAGCTTTTTCTTAGTCAAAAATGTTTACAGCTTCTCCCACTTGACGATTTTAATGTCCATAAGGTTTTTACTGCGATTTTGGATATCCTTCCCTGTCAACATGGCACTAACTAGAAGAGGTTTTTACTACTTTTTTGGCCATTTAAGAGAGGTATATAGATAGTCCCTCTCCTTTTTTTATATTTTTAGGTTTGTCATCTTCCCTTTTTCCGTCTATCGAAAATTTTAATTTATTCTTTCCTCCCCTCCCCACTTTCCACAAGTCCCGTAGGGTGTAAGCATTAAATTTTTAGAGAAAATAAATACTACTAGAAACGTTAGAAACTAAGCATTTTACCACCCCTTCCTTTTTTACTTGACTTGGCCCTCAAAAAATAATTCGGCACATCCAATATTATTTTTAATATTTTATTGGATTCATTCAAAAAAATATTAATAATTCCCGATTTTCACACTTAAAAATAATTTGGGTATAATAAGTATTTTTAAATAAAATATATTTACATAAAAGTTTTTGATATATTGTCTAAAAAATTATTTAAATTAATAAATTTATTTTAATTTTCAATTTTTTTCCAATTTATTTTTTAAAAATATTTTTAGATAGAGAAAAATAAAATTTAATTTTTATTATTAAATGGTAATAGAAATACCACCAAATTCACAAACAACATAAGGAAATTCATCTCCTAATAATACATTGAGGAATTTACAGTCAACAACTTTACAAGAAAGGTAAAGAGAGAGAGAGAATAATGACTGTAAATAAATAAATTTTTGGAAATTTAATTTTAATTAAAAAATGGCTTTATGTTTACACTAATATTTGGAAATTAGAAAATTGAAAATTTGAAAATTACTATATTTCTCACCAAAAAACCCAAATTCGGCCTTATATTTTTAAACAAAAATTTATCTAAAAATAATTTAAAACTAACTCCTTTTTTAAGTAAAAACCCTCCTACTTCCTCCTCCTCATCACCTCCCCAACCCTCTACTTCTTTATCATTTTCCTTAATTATGGATGAACAAAAATGTCAAGATCCCTCTACAAGTAATCATCAACAAATTAATAATTTAGATTTAATTAATTGTTTTAATAAAAATACTTCAGAAGAACAACAAAATAATGAAAATAATAAAGAATTATTTGGTAGGTTTTTTTAAAATTGCTTAGAAAAAATTAAATTTTATTTCCGAAAAAAATATTTTCTTTTATTTCGACTTAAAAATTTGCTCGAATTTTTTCTTAATTTTTAAAATATTTTCTTTTTTATTTTTTTTCTTTCAAACAATTATTTTTTTAATTTTCAAAAAACAAATATTTATTTCTCTTTCCTTTATATATCCGGCTGTATTATAGAAGGATTTTTGAATTGTTTATTTTTTATGGCCAATGTGATTTGCATAATCGTGCCATTTTCCGCTCATCAATAAAAAAAGAGGAAAAGCTTTTTTTATTTTTTCAAAGGATTATTTGGAGTATATTTATTGAGTAAAAATTTAAAAAAATGAGAAAATTAAAAAAAGGGAAATTTTTTAATTTAATTGATCTTCTTTAGCTATCCATATCTTCCCATTATGCGCTTTTTTAAAGCTCGCTTTGAGAATTAAAATAAATATTTTTGAAATTTTTTTGTTAAAATAAGTCCAAATTTTATTTAAAAACACAAAATTAATTATATGTAAAATAATTAATCACCAGCATTAATTAATTTAGACAGGTGAAAATAATTTTGAAATAAAAAATTTATATTTTTTCTAAATAATTTTTTAACTCAAAAATCTCAATTTTTTATAATAATTAAATATATTTTGTTATTTTTTCAATAATTTTTTCCCAACTTGGGCATATCAACTGTCACAAAACTGGTGAGAAAACGGCACCGTCTGTCGGCATTTTTGCCCTTAAAATTTTTTGTATTGCGCAGCGGCACTCCAACTTATAAATAAATAAACATGCTTTAAGGCGGAAAATGTTTTATTAACAAAAAAATTTTTTCTTTCATTTAAAGGGTTTGCGCGGCATTTTTATAAACAAAACGTTTCCCACCTGTTGGGACTTTTATTTTCAAATGGAAAAAAATATTATTTAATTTAATAAAAAATTGTTTTAACAAATTTTTATATTTATTTTTTATTAGCATATAAGAGCGCACTAGATCCAGCCATTATGTTTATATTTATTTACATACATATCGGTCTCCCTCGTCACGTTCTTTAGATTTTTGTGTCAAGTTCTGATAGTCCGATAATTCCTTTTTATTTTAATTATTGGACTTTTCTATTTCGTAAAAATCACAGAGATCCCTTTTTAAATCATTTCCTAAATTAGTTTAAATTTTCAAGTGAGTCAATATAACTAGGCTTATCGAGAATAATTTTTAAAATAAGTATAGTATATCAAATTCTAATTAAATACCCCCAATGTTTTTTTAAATTATCTCTTTAAATTTTCTCTAAATAACAAAAAATTCAAAATTTCCTTATTTTCTCCATTTTTACATAAATCTTTACACAAAAAAATAAGAAAAATATTTTCTATTTTTTTTTCAATGCCGTCTAGTAACTAAAGCAATTAATCACAATTTTTCTTTCAGCTTTTTCATTTAAAAATAAAATCAACCGTTTTTTGCATGGTTTTCCTTGAATATTTTAATTTTATAAATTACATAAAATAGAAGCAAAAAATATTTTTAGGAGTTGATTTTGAGGTTTTAGCATTTGGGATTTTCTCTCTAAAAAAGAGGGAAAATCCCAAACTTTGGACCAATAAATTTGTGATTAATTAAAGTTTATGATAAAAATTGGGGTTGAAAGATTAGTTATTTGTTTATGAATTTTTGGAAGTATCTGTTTAGGAGAGATGTCCAAGACTTGATAAATCGTGACTCAAAATGTTTTTTGGGAGTTTTTTTTATCCAGGTTTTGGGTTTAAATCTTGGGAAATTTTTGATTATGTAAGGCTCTATTGAATAGAAAAGTATTTTTTTCATGTCCAAAAACTACTTAAATTTTGTTTTACAAACCTAGAAAAATTTTTAGTGTCAAATAGGTATACCAATTTTTAATTATTTTTTTAAATTAATTAATTTTACAGAATTTTTTTTCTTAAACGACCTTAATTTATTTTTACAGTTTCCTTTCTCAAAATTTTAATTAAAAGAAGAAATTCTTTTTTCTATATTTCTCTTCAACATTTCTTTTATTTTTCCCTCAATTTAAGTATTTCCTCTAAATATCTAATCACAAATACTTTTGTAAATTAATTTAGAATTGTAATTTTTAATAAAAAAATAACTAAAAACGTTCATTCATTTATTTTGGAGAGAAAATAAAAAAAACCCTCATTTCTTTCTTTAATCTTTTATTGTTGAGGAAATTAATAAATTAAAAAATTTTTTACTTTTTTTACTCAGCATGAATCTCAATCTTTTTTTCTAATCACTTTTCTTTTCAAATTTTTCTTTAATTTTTTATTTTGAATTATTTCATCAATAAATGTTCTTTTTAAAATAATTTTTTGAATATTTTATTTATTTATTTTGTTGCTTTTATTAAAAAAGCCGGATGTAAAATAAAAGAAAAAAACTTAAATTAAAAATTTTGGGAAAAAGGAAACGTTGATTGGTTAGGTACTGTAGTTGTGGGAGAGAGAGAAGAGTAAAGGGGTGATGAGGTTGTGTTTGTTAAGAAAAAGAGAAAAGTAATAAAAAATTTTCAAGTTTGAAGTATTAATAAATAAGTTTCATGTAAAATTCTCCTAATTTTTTAATCATTTAGATTTGATTAAAAATAGGCTAAAATCTCATAATTTACTCAGATTTTTAAGATGATACAAAGTTGTGATTAAATATACCTTATTTCCTCTAATTGAATGCACGGCCATATAATTTTCAATTATCCTCAAAAAAGGACTTTTTATATATTAAAGGGGGCATTAAACTTGAGGAGGGTATTAGAGGAAATACTTTAAATTTAATATAAACATATTGAAAATATTCTCTCTCTCTCTTTTTTTTTGTAAAAATATTTTTATTATTTTTCAAAAATAATTTTATTTTTATTTTTTATTTTCAATTTTTAGCCAATTCAACATTTTTATATTCAAAACTTGTCATTTTTCCTTCTTCTTTTTTACATATAAATTCTCGGTTTTCTACAATTTTCCGGTTGAGTCAATTTAAAAGGGCAAATGAAATTTTTAGAAAAAAATAAAAATTCTTCTTCTTCTTCTTCTTTCCCTCCTTTTTATTAACCAGTCAGGCGCTTGTCCTTGTTATGTGCTTGAAAAGAATTATCCACCCTTTCCCTATTGGTTTATTCCCGCGGGATTGAAACATCCAAAACCAGGACAAGAAAAAAAAGTGAAGATGAAAAGAAATGAGTAAAAAGTAAAAACGGAAATGAATTGTAAAAAAGAAGAAGGGAGGGGGGAGGGAGGGAAGGTGGAAAATTTAATTATAAATAGAAATGTATATTTCTTAAAGTTGGTTAATATATTTAAATAGAAAGTAAGTATATTATTTATTAGGGATGGGGAAAATGTTAAAATTGAAGTTGAAGTTGAAAATTAAAAAAATTAGGTTTACTCAAAGAAAACTTTAGTCGAACTTTGAATTTCAAATACTTGAAATTATTCGATCGCTTCTAGAAAATGGCTAAAAATGAGAAAAACGAAGAAAAATAAAAGTTAATTTTTAATTAAAAAATAAAATTTAAGGCAAAAATTAAAATAAAAAACCAATTTTCTAACCTTTAATAAACCCAACAACATTTTTATATAGGGACTTCTTCTTTATTTCCGCCCGTTGAACCTAAAAATAAATGAATTTAATGTTGGCCCACGGAAATAAATAGATAAAAATATTTTTTTGGTTAGCTCTTTATTTTATTTATTTTTTTTGTTTTCCTTTCTCAATTTTCACACATTTTTGACCCCCCCCCCCCTCCCCTCCCCCCCCATCCATAGGGAAATTGGTGTGCGCAAAGAGGCGGTAATACTAAAATAAAAAGCAGCCGCTCTATTGTGTTTTTAAAAGAGGAAGTGGAGGATGAAAAATAATAGAAAAAATGGGGAGGGGGGGGGGAAGATGAGTAAAGCTTTAAGTATTGAATTGACTATAAAGCATTAAATAATAGAGGTGCCAAAAAAGCTTTTAAGAAGAAATATTAAAATAGGTAAATAAAAGAGGGGGGAGGGGGGGTTGAATTAAAATTTAAAATTATAAGAATATAATTGTTAGATTTAATGTGAATTGAAGCCCCCCTTTTGTGATATTTTAACAGTTTTTAATTAAAAATGCCAAATTTATTTTAAATGTTTTAAAAATTATTTATTCATAGACTATTCAAATATTTTTGCCATACCTACTTGAGCCTTTCTTTTAGAAATTCGTCTAAATACAATTAAAATTTAATTTATTTTTCCTAGTCTTTTACAAGTATTTTTGACTAAATTTAAAATTAAAATTAAATAATTTTAAATATTTAATTTATTTAATATATTTTAGAAAATCTAGAATTCTGTTTATGTTCAAGTTGTGGATTGCCCATTCAAGATAGATTTATATATAAGGTTTTTATTTAAATAATTATATTAATCTTTTTTTGGATATTTTTGTCTGAAAAGCAAAACTTTTGGTTTTATTAAAAACTTTTCTTTCAATGAAACCAAAATTTAAGAAAAAAGATTCGTTAATTTAAAAATATTTAAAGGTGCTAGATTCCCAATTTTATCACGAAAAGTGCCTCAATTGTTCAGTCTGTAGACAGCCCTTCCCTTCAGGAACTTGTTTCAGCAGAAATTCTCTTTTATTTTGCCGAGAACATTTTCTAAATACTTTCGGCCCAAAATGTTCTCGTTGTGCAGCCCCAATTGACGAAAGAAGTATTGTAAGAAGGGCAAATCAACATATTTATCATTTACAATGTTTTCAATGTGTTGTTTGCAAAGTAGGGAATTTAAATTTAAAAATTATTCAATTTTATTAAACTTAATTACTATACATGCCAGGAATTCTGTCCTGTTTTCCGAAATTTTTTGAAAAATCGAAAATTTTTTAAAATTTAGATTGTCTAGATTTAAATTTACCATCCTATATTGCCTCTGTCTCTAACATTGAATTACATAACAAAAGTTCCTGAATTCCCGAAATCAGAAATTCCCGACGTTTTTTGGATGGGAATGTCTTTTAGGTAGTTTCCGAAATCGGAATTTATTTTTTATATCGGCAAGACTTAAGATATACCAAAGTTATAAATATTATTTTCTTCTCTCCCTTTTTTAAATTCATAATTTTAAAAAGTAATTTTTTCACAAAATTTATTTAATTTTAAAGCGGGAAATGGACACTGGTGATCAATTTTATCTTATTCCAATGGATGGTAGATTAGTTTGTAGACAAGACTTTGAAACTGCCCAAAAAGGTATTTTAAATAAAAATTAATTTGAATTATTTTTTTGTTTAAATTTAATCTAAAAAATATTAAAGAAGAATTAAAATAAAATCTGCCATTAACATTTAAATTTTTCTTTTAAATCTTTTAATCTAAAATATATATTAAATATTTTTATTCATTTCTGACCTTTTTTAAAATGTAAATATTGCAAATAATTTTAATAACTATTTTTGCATAATTAATTATTTAAAATTTAATTTTAATTTTAAAATTAATTTTTAAAAAATATTTTAGAATAAAATAATTATTAAAATGTAAATCTAATTGTGACGAGATATTGGGGAGAGAAATATATACAAGATGACCATTAAAGTTTATGACACATTTTTTATGCCATAACTTTATTCAAATTTAATATATTGAGATCAAATAAATCGTAAATTATAGAGAATTAACCAAGGAACAAAAATAATCAGGAATTTTTTAAGTACCAACCCTTTGCGAGGAAACAGAGTAAAAACTTTTATGGTCACCCTGTACATATAATATTTTCAATAAAGCCCCAATCTAGTTCGGGATCCGGTCCTTGACCGGAGCCATGGTTTGAAAACGGTACTGGTCCCAACTTGGTCCCAACCCAGCACTCGTCCCTCCTTCAAAGTTGCGCAAAAATCCGCTTATTTTCATTCTTTAAGCTTTTTTTTAATTTTTTATTTTATCAAAGCGTCTTCATATTTGCTACATAAACATATTTATGAATTTTTGCAATAAAAATATTATTATTTTTTATTTTTTAAATTACTTCCCACACTGTTAAAAACTTTTATTTTCTTCCCCCTCCATAATATCCAAAATATATACAATTTTTTCCTTTGCAAATGGCTTCATTTTTTTATTTTTTTCCTTCACCCTTTTTATATTAAAGCCGATTTGCGAGAAAAATTAAAGAGTTTTTTCACCGGAAAATATAAAAATGATCGAAAAAAGTACAAAATTAAAAAAATTTAACTAATCGGATTTAAAATATTTTTTATTATTTATTATTTTAAAGTTTGGATTAATTAAAGTTTGTGGGGCATATTTCTGTTTGCCATAGTTTTTTAATTTTAAATTGAATCATAATTTATTTGTTAAAATTTCCAATTAATTGTTTACTATATTTTGTTTAAACTTTACTGTTATTCCAAATATATCCACAACTTTATATAAAACAAATAAACATTCAGGTGTAGGCCGGGGGTTGTCGAAAGTGATTTTAAAAAGTGAAAGGCAAAAAGGCGAAAGTCAATTTAAAAAGCGACCGGTGAAAGGCGAAATTTTCACAAAAGGTGAAAATTATCACTAACGATCCTTTGGTTATAACCCAGGGCTCTCATTCGTACTTTATTTGAAAGTACAGTACTTTAAAATCGACCTCCGTACTTACAAAATTGAATTTGTACTTTATTGAAAGTATGTACTTTAAAATCAACATTTTAGATTGAAAATGAAATTGGGGAAGGGATTGGGCAAAAAAGTGAATTTTTTTGGCCTACGGCATTCGAAATTCTCAAAATTTTCGCCTGCGGCGCTGAAAAAGGAATAAATCTGGCTTCTTGGGCTCCAAATTTCAAAAAATTTTCGCCTGCGGTGCTGAAAAAGTGAATTTTTTTGCCTACGGCCTTCTAAAATTTTAAAAATTTTCGCCTGCGGCGCTAAAAATGGAAATAATCTGGCTTCTTGAGCTCTAAAATTCTCAAAATTTTCGCCTGCGGCGCTGAAAAATGACGAAAGAAAGTAGCTTGTTTGAGGTTGACTGTCAGGGCTTTATTTCTTGTGTCAGCGAATTTTGACATGTCATGCATTGAAATGCACAAAATGCTCAGTGGAAACAAGAAATTATTAGAAAAGATTCATTTAGGAGAGAAATATAAAAATTTAAGCACGAATAAATATGTATTTTCTAATTTAATTTTGAGTGTACTTTAAATGTGGAAATTTTGTCCCTATGTACTTTAAAATCAAGATTTTTGTACTTTTGATTGGTATTTTGTCGATGAGAGCCCTGTTATAACCTTTTTAATCCTTAAATGGGAGATTTAAAGGGATAAATAGAATTAGAAATGATATCAGGAGTTTGAACGGATAGCGGGGATTTGAAGGGGCGCTAGAGGATATGGAAGGAAAAATTTGACTTTGATTTTTTATTTTCCGCTCTTTTTCCGATCTACTTCGTTGGTTATGAAAAGCTTGGCGAATCTTGGTAATCTTTGAACACCCCATTTCCTTTTTTAGCATCGCTTTTTCTTTTCGTTATTGATACTTAATATCCTTACCTATATTCTACCAAAATTTGAAACTGATCCATTTTATATTTGTTGAGTTTATTTAGTTCATTTCTTCATCTTACTATTATACTAATTTCCATTAAAAACAAGTCAAAAAAAGATTAAAAAATAAAATAATCTTTTAGTCATGTCTGTTCTTGAAATCCTTTTTTTATAAATTTATTACTAATATATAGGGAGTGGCAAAACATGCAAATGCATATTTTGCATGCGGATATGCCATCGGCTAAAACGCTCAAAAATGGTGTTTTTACATTGGTACGAACATTAGGGATCGGGTTCTTAATGCATATTTTTGCATATTTTGGTACTTTCGTGCATATTTGCATATCTGTGCATATTTTGGGAAATTTTGCATATTTTTACCTAAATTTTTGCTTATTTTGGCATTTTTTGAGAAATTTTAGTAAAAATCGGGCAAAATTTTAAAAATATTGGAATTTTTTTTTTTTGCATATTTTGGGTTTTTTTGATAAAAATTTGTTTAGCAAAATTTTCAAAAAATTTTTCGGGAAAAACTTTTTTCAAAAAATTTTTATCGGAACTTAAATTTTAAGTTCATAAAATCTTCTAGAAGAGCTCTTTAACTGCAATTTAAATGCTAAATTAGTATTTTTTACTCAAAATATGGATTTTTAAACCACATTTCTATTATTTTTGCTGCATATTTAGTGCATATTTTGGAAAATTTGGCATATTTTTGTGCATATTTTAGGCTTTTTCGGTGCATTTATATGCGCATATTTTGGGATTTTTCGTGCATATTTTGCCACTCCCTACTAATATAAATAAATGGATGCTTTAAATATTTTTACAATAATATATATTTTAAAATATTTAAATTTAATTTTATTAATTATTAATAAAGATTTAGTTTGGAAAAGGATTCGGAATTTCTTGAGCAAATGTGTAATAATCATTTTAAGCGTAATATATCATTCAAAAACTCTTATAAATTAAAAAGAATAAAATAATTTATAAAAAATACCATCCCAAAAATTTAATTTAAAAACGGCCAATAATATTTATTTTTATTTTTTACATAGGTATTTTTACAAAAATAATTAAATAAAAAAAATAAATTTCCGGTTATTAATTTTTTCTAAATTATTTTTATTTACAAACAATTTCCTAATTAAAAATTTAAAAATTTAAAAAATTAATAAACAAACTTTAATATATTTAAATAAAAATATAATTCGCAACTGCCAATTAAATAAAAAATAATCCAATAGAGACACTTTAAATCCCTTTTTTCCCTTGACGTTAACAAACAAACAAAAACACATTTTTAACAAAAACAAAGAAAAATTAAATGTCTCCTTTTAAAAAAAGATTAAAAAATAAAAAAAAATTATATTAATTACTATATACCTATAATTCAGGGAGTGTTTTTTCTAAGAAAAAAAATAACGGCCGGCCGAAGGCCGGCACGGATTTGGGAGTTTGACATTCGGGGGGTAGTTTGGGACGGGGCATCCAGGAAAATTATCGAGAAGTCGAAATAATTGCCCCCTGGTACCTAAATCGCTTAAGCGCCGGGGCTATCTTTTTAACGGGGGGTTATAGCGAAAAACGTCTGCTGGGAGGATGATGTACGGCTATTAGTAGAGTTCGAATGCAAAAAACTCGAAGTCGAAATTCGGACCTGAAGGGTACTTATGCCTTCCCAAATGGTTATGCCCCCAGGCTGAAAAATTCTAACTCTTTAACGAATTGAGTTAGGGGTCTGAAACTTTTGCATTTAAGGGTTCTATTTGATGGGGCATTTGGGAAAAATACGAAAGTTAAGAAATAATTACCCCCTGGTACCTATATTGAATAGGTACCGGGGGTATCTCGGGACTGGGGGGAGATATCAAAAAACTTCCAACGGGAGGCACGCAAGTTGGAATAAGCTGATATATGTAGGAAAAAACCCGAAGTCTAAATCCCAACTTGAAGGGTAGATATGCCTGCGCAAAAATCCCAAAATCCCAGTTTCGCAAATTTCGAAATTTACGAAACTTATCGACAAATCACGTGTGATATGTCAAATGAAAGCTCTCGACGAGCTGAGTCTGGAAAAATTTAGTTTAAATTTTTCGGAATACTTTTGACCAAGTTACAGTAGCCCAAAGTTTCAAAGTGCCCCCATGTAAAATTGGGAAGGGTGGCTCCAATTCTCAAAAGTGAATTGAAACCCGTTTTCGATATCCTATGTTATAGAGCGTCACCTGACGGTCAGAAAAAGGTATAATATGTCGGGGGTCCGGTTGAGTCTCAAAAAGTTATGGCCAATGTTCGCAAATGTCGCGAAACTTTTTTTTGACTCTAACTTTGTCGAAAATTTTTTTAGAATTTTTCTGACGCCGGATTCGTACTCAGCGGGTGTCAGAGTACCATATAGGCCGTTTTATAAGTCAAAATTCCAAAATTTTGTCCCACCCCCTATTTCCGAAGGGGTACCCCTTTTGGGGGATTTTTGGGATTTTTAAAATCGCCATAACTTTTTATGGGATTATCGGATTGGGTTGTGGTTTGCTTTATAAAATATAGTCAAAAATTAGAAATTTTTTGAGCGCAAAAAATTTCGAAAAAATCCGAAAATGGAGGTGTAGGGGTAGAATTTCGAAAAACCCAAAATTTTTCGGTTTTTCGAAATTTTTTCGGGATTTTTGCCTACTGACGGTTCTAATGTATTTTTCTTGAATTAAGCAGATTTATCTACATATTTTGGG